AGAATGAATAATGCGTATTCAGAACAAGCATGCTCAAGTAAGGAAAACCGCTTCCTGGCATCTATTTCAAGGCTCCCTTAACCACCAGAGGGAGCCTCTTATGCAGACGTCTGCTCGATAATGGCGTCTGGTAATAGAATTGATGACTTGTGCTCGAAAGTAACCGGTTTACTCTCCTAACTTTCTCGCTTCTGCCCTGCCTAACCCTCTCCACTACAAAATCCTCGGCAACCCTTTTTACCACCTGAACGAAGGATATCAGACTACAGCTGAGAGTTCAAGTCGACGGCGAATAAATTCCGATGGTGAGCAACTTGAAAGTTCTTAGAGCAACCTTCGATAGTCTCGTTCTCGGCGAAAACAACTGCAATTGTCAATAAAGAGCCGCAACGAGGTCCTCAAGTCTCTAACCGGCAGCACCTGGCAACATACAAGGGAATTGGCCGGCCGCTTGTTAACTATGTTGTCGCCGGGGGCTAGTAGGACGCAGTGGACAAAGCTACAGACTTGCCAAAACACGGCAGTCCGTACAGCGACCGGATGTCTTCTCAAATGCTCTCCGTTAGGGAGCACAGCATACCGACAGGTCATAAATGGCATTCAGAGGGAATCAGTACACTGACTCTCACCATATAAATGCCGCTTCGGGAACACAACCACCTGACGTGGACGAGACCGGGCTTAGTCTGCCACGGAAGACTCGAACCATAACAGCCCATCTTCGTTCTGGCTACTTCGGCAGGTCAAACTCGTACCTGAGCAGATTAGATTCAGATGTGTCCAACGAGTGCCCGGCTTGCGGAGGGACACCCGATGACTCGAGACATCTCTTCGCATAACCCTTAAACCCCACTCAGCTAGCGCCTCTGTCCCTAAGAACAGAGCTGCACATGTTGCCATTTTGGTGCTTTTGGAGCTTAATTTAGCTCTTTATTTGTCTATTCAGCTCCGAAAATTGGGTTTTAGTTGCTTGCTCTTTTTTTAGCTCTTTTCAAATTTATCTATCATTTTTTTAACTCCAGAAAGTTTAAGTTGTATTTGGTATATATAAGCCAAAACTTAAGCGTTGATAAAATGGAAATTTTCGAGATGCAGTGCCTCCACCATAAACTCTTGGATCTAGGTTAAATAATTCAAAAATTATTTAAAAGAAAATCATTTTTCTGATAGCACGGATTTCGTTTAAACTTTCCAGAAAACTTTTGCGAAAAAATTATTCAATTCAAATAACTGAAATTACAGACTTTAACAGTTTGTAAAATATTTTTAGTTCACTTTATAAGTGCCACAGCAACGAATTCGAAATGTATACACCTTATTTTGTTTTTAAAAGATTTTTCCAGCACTTATACTTATAAAATTCCAAACAAAATTTTTCTCTGGCAACACTGGCTGCACGCTTCCTGGGTTTCCCGTTAGTTGAGCTTGACAAGAACGATTGAGGGTCAAGTTGATCTAAGAGGGGTTGAGTAGCCGTTTCAACGACAACAACTTAAAGAATCTTCCAAAAGCGAGTTTATATGCACTTTGTGTTCCAAGTGAACCTTTATTTTTTCTGAACTAGTCAAAATGATCAACAATTACTACGAATTCCTGTTATTTTTTTTAAATAAAACCTTTATTTTTGAGTATGAAGATTATAATTTAGAGAAAAATAGAGTGTCTGCTCAATGGATTTATAACGTCCGCTCAGTAAAAACACTGTCCGGTCACTAAAAAAAATTGTTTTTTTTCAGAAAATCTTTTTTTATACAAAATTTAATTCCTTTTCATAAAATTCAACTACTTTAGTCAATTTAGAATTAGTTTATAATCCTATTTTGATTAAAATTTTTTTGTTCCGATAATCCGGTTGCAATACATATCGACTGCTGACTGGAAGATCGACCTATCTCGGCAGCCAGTTCGAAAACGCCCTATATCAGCACATTTTCAATACATTTTGAAGTCAGATAGGGCGTTTTTGAACCCAATTCTAAGATAGGGTGTTTTTCAATAAAATTCTGAAATATGGCGTTCTTGAAAAGTTTTTTGAGATAAGGAATGAATTTTATGTGAAAGTTCTTATTGATTTTACTTAAAGGAATATCTCCTCAAAATAAGAAGGAGCTTCAAGTGCTTCAATGCTGCTGGCCAAGGGCGTATGTCAACAAACATTTAGGTTAGAGAACAATTAGGAAACGTCTCGAACTTTAATCTGTTGCTCTACGGTAGAAGAATTCTCTACAAAAAAGGGGACTTATTTCTCAATATCGAGAAACAGGTTATATATCCAATCGTTTTCTATCGTTAAATTCTAATTGGTTTCTAATATCTAGGGTTTTTCTAATCATTCTCTAATCGAATTCTAATATAGTTCTCTAACCTGATTTTCGATTGGAGAACTTCATTAGAATTCGAATGTAAAATCAAAATATTTATCTCACGTTAGAGACTGTGTTTTGCTGGGATATTACTTTTGTTGGAGAAATAAAATCTAAGCCACTTTTTTGCGAAAAAAATTTACCTAAGGCCTAATCAACTTTCAGAGTAATACATATTGTTCAGAAGTCACTAATAGTCATAGTTTCTCCGATGAGAGCTTTTTTATAGACTTCGAAGACTGGCTACTGCAATGTTCCGACACCAGTCGGTTTTACGTAAAAGGAAGGTACTGCCAACCTAGAAACATTTCCTCAAAACTATCTTTTGTTATGGCAACAACAACTGCCTACACAAAATAAAGTTCCGCACAAAAAGGATGTAGCTGGAGTTGTTTTTATAAACAAAAAATATCTATGTGTTCCTAAAAACCACAATGTCAAACTTGAAAGCTTTCTGTCGTTCTGTCCTACACTCAGAAAAAAGTCGGGCAAATATAGTCCTCTCAACACATGATTTGGTAACTATAAACAAATAGCAGTGGCGGATTTATCGTACAGGCAACATAGGCTGAAGCCTAGGGCGGCAGAATTAAGGGGCGGCAAAATTTAAGACAGCTAAATTAAAAGAAAAAAATTTATTTGGATTCAGCTGCACTTGAAATTGTGTTTGTGTCTGTAAAATATTATTAATGATTCATCTCATTCAATACAATTCAAAATTAGAATTACGCTGCGAATTTTTCCTTAGTATAGCAGTCGTTGAAATTTCCATTTAACTTTCATTCACGCGGCTTAGAAACCTGACGGCGCGCCTGCGCGTGACGCAAAGAAACAGCCGACACGCTGCCCCGAGAACGAGAATCATCTAAAAGGTTACCACACTTGACAACACTGCCGAAAAACGAGCGTGCATTTTCGAGAAAATTCTTGATTCCAAGCCCACCAGTTTTTCATAAGTGTATCATAACGTGAATAATCTGAAGGTCAGCTTCCGTCGTATGTCAAATTAGGCAGTGTATCTGTGTATGGTCTTCTGTTTGTCTTGCGCGAGGTCAAAAAATCTTCCGGATGAGCGATTTTATTTTGTATACTCGCATAGCGCTACTTCAATGTCCTGATAATTGGATTCTACTTGTCCAAACCTCTAAAGCATTTCAGTGCAGAATACATCGTGTTTTACTATATTGTAATAAAGCACTGACAATAACAATCATATTTGATATATATATATATTTTTTTTTTTTGTGAAAAAAGGGCGGCAAGTTATGAATTGCCTAGGGGCGGCAAATATTTAAATCCGCCACTGACAAATAGTGTAACTATAACCAAATCTTGTGTTGAGAAAAACATATTTAGTTGACGTAACTAAACTCTTTTCTCAGTGTACCCTGTCGGAAACACCAATAGCCAAATTTTTTACCATATAAGTCAAAATTTTTTTTTTGTCAAAATTACGCATTGAAATACATTTTGTAAATTAATAATATGTTGGCTAAGTGTTTAGCCAAGCTTCATCTCGGATTTGTGGTGTGCGCCTTGATGTTGTCACACATATGGAAGGACCCACAGTTTTTTTCAATGCAGAAATACACGCAAGAGTTTGCCATTGCCTGCCCAGGGGCAACCGCTGTTAAGAAAATACTTTTTTTTGTGATCGTTTTTGTTTTATTTTTTTACGTTACTTCTAACCCATCGGCTACAGCGTCCTATTTATAATCGAATGCCTTTCAAAACAACTCTTTTTACTTCATTCTATCGATTTTCCTAAGAACTTTGCGTAATTTCACCAGTTGGTATGCCACATTAGGGTTTGTATTTGTTTGTCATTGGCATTTTATACCTACAATGATTTGTTATCCGTTTCAGTGGCGAGTGTTATCGACTTCAAAATTTAATAAAACTGTAGAGTTATTCACAGTTGCATTTGTTTTCATTATTAGATATTTAAACTAGCAATTTTTCACTAAAATATTTTTGCACAAGGTATTTTCGCAAAAGCACCCAAGCACACACTCAAATAAGTTATTAAACACTTCACGTGATTTTTTTAAATAATTCAGATTGTTTTTGTCACAGTACGTATAGTTTTTGTTATCTAATCCACGAGTTGCTCATAAAAGTGTTGGTAAAAGGGCAAGCATTTTTTCTTTACAGTTCTCGGCACAAAATAAAAAAAAATAAAAAACAAATCCGAGCAAATTGCCAAATGTCAAATTCCAAAATATCTAAAATATTTGGACTGCTAAATGCTAAGGTCGGCGAACGCGCGGGCATTAATGTTGAGCTTGATGAAAAATGCGAAGAAGCTCATTACTGCTAAATATTTCTGTGTGTGTGTTTTTTTTTTGTTTGCTTTCTTTATTATGCGAACACTTTCGTTTTCCGGCGAGCGCGACCGTTCACTAGCTGCACATGAATTGAGTATCGCTTGGAATTCGCAAAAATTTACCTAATTGTCGCGCTTCACGTTCAATTATTGCGCAACATTGCTGCTTTTGATTGAACTGCAGCTGCAACGAATTTGAATGAGAACGCGGATGCGACTCTGTCCTCGGCTAAATGACTAACCACCAAAATACACGTCAATGGGAGCGGACGACGCTTCCCTGCTTGCACTGATGCTGCCCTGCCGCTTACCTACGCGCAACGTACCGCCGTTTACTTCGTTTACAAACAACAACGATTTCGAATCAGCGCGAAATATGTACACATTCACCAAGCGCTGAAGCACAAGCAACACTGTCCGCACACGGCTGTTGACTTTGAATTTGGCTCAGTGCGCGAACAGCGCAATAAAAGCTGCGGTGAAATAGCAGTCGTGAGAAAGAGTCAACACTATAAGCGGCCATGAATTCGCGCTGATGGCGTGCTTATTGGTTGAAAACCAGTTTCGCTACGAATAGTGTGTGAGCGTGAGTGGGATTTATTAGCCACGCCCATTTTTTCGTATTCCTATTATTAATTGCGTATTATGATGTAGGAATGCAGTGTTGGCGTTCATTTTGACAAAATTTGCACGGCGTTTTCTGCTTACAGTTGTAGATGGTAGGAGTGTGCGAGAGAGTATGAGCGCACAAGTGTAACAAAGAACGAGAGTGCAAGTGACGAGTAGGCGGGTAGTTCTGTTGGTTTTTTTCTTTTTTTGTTGCAAACTATAGAAAATGGCGTCGCTCAAACTACAAGTGCAGTTGAAAACGACTGGCACACCTTCACTGCTTGCGGGCACTATGCCGGCGCACTGCTTCGATTTGACAGCACTCTGCATCGGTGAAAAATCGTGTAAAGGTCACGTTAAGCAGGTAAACTGCATACGGTTTGTGTCAGTTGAAAAAGAGGAGGTTGCTGGATTCAATTGAATACCTAATACAAAGTTCAACAAAAAATTGCAATTTATCAGCCTCATTGCGTAAGTCGTAAACTAGGCTAAATTGTACGTATCGACAACATTGGCATTGTCTACTGTCGTGCTGAAATAAGTAAACGACGAAAATCGTCGAAAACTATACAGTGCTGCCAAGTATTTGCGTTTTAATACACTAGTCGAGTGGAAATTTTAGGCAATGACGTGAAATTTTCTATACGATTCGACTCTCGAAAAACTACTTGCATTCGACACGTCTCTCGCAATGAGGGTGTATGTACCTAGGTACCTACATTGTCATTAGAGAAAACTACTTTTTCAAATCGCAAAGAATCGAGTCTTGGTGGGTGGCTTTAGGGGAATGTACTCTGGCGAATAACTTGGCTGCCCCCGTATACATCTGCATAAATATCAATAGACGTTGTTCGCTTTGTGGTGAATTCCATATTGGAGAGCCGTCGACGTTTGGTATTTGCGTTGCTGGTTCCAGTTTTGCAAGAGACACTACCCTTTGCACTCCACGTAAGCTTTCGTGGTCGCCTTTTTATGCTGTAGTAGGTACTGCTCTAGTTGCTAGAGATATGCATCTATATGTATGTCCCTAATTTTCAGAACGTCCCAGGCTTGCAGACTTAAACTATCTACTAATAAATATCTGACTCCTCCATTGTTTGTCCAAATAAAGACTGGTTACAGGCAGGGACGTCGCAACCGGGTAAGAGGCGGCTGCACCCCAGATTTTCTGAGAGAGAGAGGGAGTATACTCATTTTGATCACAAAGGCCTTTTTTAGGACCCCTACTAGTACAGAAATGATCCCGAAATAGCCCTAAATGATCCCGACCTAGTCCCGAAATAGTCGCGAAAAAGTCCAGAACTAGTCCCGAAATGGTTCTGAGCTAGTCCCATCCTCTAAGACTTAATTATCTATGATGACTAGACTTTTATAGCACCGTGCGACCGTAAATTTCACACNAGCCGCGTGAATGAAAGTTAAATGGAAATTTCAACGACTGCTATACTAAGGAAAAATTCGCAGCGTAATTCTAATTTTGAATTGTATTGAATGAGATGAATCATTAATAATATTTTACAGACACAAACACAATTTCAAGTGCAGCTGAATCCAAATAAATTTTTTTCTTTTAATTTAGCTGTCTTAAATTTTGCCGCCCCTTAATTCTGCCGCCCTAGGCTTCAGCCTATGTTGCCTGTACGATAAATCCGCCACTGCACATGATTCAATAATTAAAGGTTTCCTCACAAGTGACCAGTGTTGGCGTTGAAAACTTTCAGAAAGTCGCAAAAAAGGGGTAGGTATATGACGAAAAAAGGGTCACCATATTATTTTTTATTTTCTTTACTAGTAAAAGAATAAATCTGAGAACCAAAGTCAAAATCAAATTTAAATGTATTATAAAGTAAAATAGCGGGAAGAGCTTTGCACAAACAGATTTGGAAACCTACAAAAAAAATCTATTTGCAATTCCTTTAAAAGTTTTAAGTGATGCATTTTTTCATACTTACAGTAGAAAATATTTTTTTACTAGCATGGTCCTGTTAACATTTCCTTCAAAAATCTCTGAGAAGGGGCAAAAGTCGCACATAATTTTGGAAAAGGGTCAAAAATCAAAATTTTAAAAAAGTCGGGTCAAAGGGTATTGATGCTTAAAAAGTGTCAAATTGCCCCTTTATTCGCACAACGGCAACACTGCTAGTGACATCACAGTTTTGACACTCCCTTAACCGTTCACAACCGAAACACAATGCCGGCGAACGGCGAATTTTTCGCCGCGAATGTTCGCTGTAACAATTAAACACCAATTTGCCAAACGACTTCGTAACGACGTCGTCTCCGACTCGTTCTTGTGAACAATTTCTTCGCTGGCGACGTTCGCCAACGACTCGCCGGCGAACTCGCCGTCGGATGAAAAGCACAGTTCGGCGGCGAACCACAAAATACGATGTATTAGCGAATTGCAAAACTATGCTAAAAATCTTAAAAAAAACCCCCCAAATCCAATTTCAAATTGTGTGCAATATTTAAAAGAAAAAAAACCAAATCAGTAAGGCTCCTTAAAAATTTCGCGGCGATAGACTTATTTCTATTGTCGTCGCTGGCGGCTTCGGCAAAATACAATCCATTGTGGCCATATGCTAAATATTCTCAGGTTTTTAAATCGAAATCCGGCTTCGTATTCTTGCGAGCCCATGTATGTATGTATCTCCTGCTCTTAATTTATTAACCTACCTGCTAAGCTGACCCTATAGTAGCATATCCATATATTATTGTATGCAACGTTGCCGCGAGCTTGAAAAAAAGTATCAGTTGCAGTGGCGGATCCAGCAGAGGGGTTTTAATATGGTGAATATGTATGTATAATATGGCGTCTATGTATTAAAATACCCCCCGTGGGTCCGCCACTGACTGACACGTAGTTTAACCCCCAAAACCCCCCCGCTGGATCCGTTACTGATCAGTTGCCAAACAGAAAAAGTAGAAAACAGCATCAAAAGCAAACACAATAATTATTTGTTAAACTATTATGTGTCAAACAAATAATAAATAAAATTTTATAGTTAAATCTATAGCTATAAAAACATTCAAATTACTTGCTTTAACGAAAAAATAGAATTTGCATTACGAAAACCAAACTTATAGGGCCCCTAAACAACACAAACTCATTGTGCAACCCGGGACTTATACAAGTCAATATTGTGGAGATGACTACACAATAAAATTGCGCAAACCTTATTTTAGAGAAAAGTTGCTCAATTAAATATGTGTAAAAATTTAAATGTGCGTTGTATATTTTGATAGCTTCAGCTTTAAAACGCAAAAAAAAATTATTAAATTTTTATCTTGGGGGTGTAACCCCTCTGCGTTCGCCTCTGACCTGCATACATACATATATCACCAAATGAAATAATGTTCCCAAAAACAATAAAAAAAAAAAAGAATATAATTTGGTTACAAAAGGGCACCACTCAAAAATTCATTTCTATATATCTTCACAGTAGAATTTGTTTTATTACGATTGCAGTACAGTTGAATCGCGATAACTCGTAATGCAAGGAACCACGAAAATGATTTGCTTATTTTTTATGACAAGGGGTAAGACGTGGGTCTGGATAATGATAAGGTTAGAAATATTTACTTATTTGCTTTTTGATTTTGCTGAAACATTTCTTCTTCTTCTTATTCGGAACTAAATCCGTTTGTCCGTTTTGGCCGAGATCAAAAGGCTTCTCCAATTGCCTCTCACCTGTGCCAATTTGCGCCAGTTGCTTATCCCGAGTACAGACAGGTTCCTTCTGCACTTGGACCTTTCTTTTTGTTCCTTGCTTTCATTGTCCAACCATGGATGCAGATCGAAGGATCTTTTCACCAGTTCGTCGTTATCCATGCGTACAACATGTGCAAGCCAGCACAATCATTGTATTTTTATGCGCTTAACCATGTCCATGTCGTTAAAAAGCTCATACAGTTCATCATTCAATCTTCTGAGAAGCTCATCGTCCACGCAAACTGGGCCACAGATCCAGTTCTAAGTCTTATTATCTTTGTTCGGCAGCGTCCGCGTTTCTGAGCCATATAGAAGAACGGGCATAACGTGAGGCTGTTTTTCATAGCCGAATACACTCGGAAGCATGCCATTGCCTGCCGAGGAGCGACCGCTATTAGAATTTTAGAGACGCAAACAGCTGTGAAGAACGCCAAAGCATTCAAGGCGTTAGACCCATACGGATTCCCATGCAGTGAGTCGAATACATCACAAAAGCTTTCAACTTGCCACTGTTCACCCTGACCATCCCCGAGATGTGGAAAATGGGTAGGATAATTCCCCTTCCTAAGCCAGGATAGAAGGCGGATGCAGGAGACTCTTGCCGTCCAAACTCCTTCCTATCCCCAGTGACAAGAACAATGGAAGCACTACTCCTCCCCAGTCTGACGAAGTATCTGGAACTAGCCGAATACCAACATAGATTCCGCAAAGATAAGCGCGGGTCGGAACCAACGTCGGCCCTGCGATAGGACGATCCTAGTCCATGCGACCCTTTGCCAAGACGTTCTGAACTCGTTGCTTCCGGATCGGACGAAGCGATGGATAACCAGCTCTCTAGAAGAGACGGAGCTTCAACTGCCAAGAGAGACCCGCGTTACCGTGGCTCAGCTACGGTCTGGATATTCCAGCTGCTTCAACAGCTATCTGTCCAGACTCGACCCCAATATCCCCAATGAGTGCCCGGTATGTGGAGATTCCCTGCACGACAACAACCAGCTTAATTCTATTCAACTGACACCGCTCTCCCTTTGGTCCGGCCTTATTGAAACAACCCGTTTCCTGAACCGAAATATGC